TGTAAACACTTGCATTTTTACAACACTATTATAGTGTGTCCTATCAGGTAATGAAAAGTTCTACACACACTTGTGGTCTTCATGCTCACTTGAACACTTGGACCAAACACAGGAAATACGTCATATAAGTAGTCAAGTGGTCAAGTGCAAAGACCGCAAGTGCGGGTATTTGGACAAGGCAACAGTTCACATCTAGCCAAGTACAGTTCAAATCCCCGGATGTGTTCTTGCTCCGCCCCTTTTATCAAGGATGCATCCAGAGGTGACTTGTGCGAACTTGAGGCAGCCAGGTATCCCAGAATGCTTTTCGCACCAACCAGCGAGCGTTAATGGAGGAGGAGAAAACCTGCATAATTTTCAAAATATTACTGTTATTGTGTCATGAAATGCAGTTCTAAGAGTATTTCAGGCGAGAATGTAGTTTTCAAACTCAAATCTACGGTTTATTTATAAAGATAGCGCCTATTTGAAAATTTGCTAAACCACATATTAATATGTTTTATATTTTTAAAATGAAAACAAAAAGGGTTTTGTTTCATATTTTGAAGAAAACGAAAAGGCAGTGGTGTTTGATATCATTTTGTTTTATTGTAATGCATGTACGTGTTGCATGAACCACATTTTTGTGGCTAATACTATTTTAAATGAAACAGAAAAGAGGCAATGCTGTTTGATATATTTTGTTTCACTGTAATGTATGTACGTTCCCCGAACTACATTTTTTGCGGCTATTTATATGTTTAAAAGAAAACAAAAAGAGGCAGTGGTGTTTCCTATCATATTTCTTCGTATTGTATACATACAGTGAAGATAACCGGAGTAGCCAAGGCGAGCTGACTGACGTTATCAAGTACTTTGCTCTTCCATTTGTAGAATTACCAGACTTGTGTCCTCCTGTCCTCAGGAGTTCGCACTTCCGAGTCGAACTTGCTAAGTCGGAACTACCGAGGACGCAAGTCCGAACTTTGCGTACTTGGTATTGAGAAACACCCTGCGTTTCAATGTTCATACTATCCATCCTAAATACTAAATA